CTGATATGCCCCAAGAGGGCCCCAAGACGACCCTGACAGGCCCCCAAGACGGCTTCCGACGGCGTCAGGCAAGCCAGGAACGCCCTAAGACTGCCAAAGAGGCCCCCAAGAAGCCCCCAAATGCCACCAAAAACCCTCCAAGAGGCCCCCAGAAAGCTCCCAGGAGGCCCCACGAGTGCCCCAAGAGGCGCCCAAGAGGCCTCCTCCTCCTCCTCCTCCTCCTCCTCCTCCTCCTCCTCCTCCTCCTCCTCCTCCTCCTCCTCCTCCTCCTCCTGCTCCTCCCATCCTCCTCGTTGTTCCTCATCCTTCCCCCTCCTCCTCTTCTTGCTCCCCACGCGTTCCCCGAGGTCTTTCCAAACCGACTCGGGAAACAACTGGCCCGATAGCTTGGCCAAGCTCTGGCCCAGCTGTCGGCCATAGAGGCGCTTCCAAAGGGGCAGGGGGCGGCCGTGATTCGCCGTGAGCGTCTTCGATCGTCCATCCTATACACAAGCGCCTTGTCATCCTCCCACGCCTCCTCCTCCTCCGCCTCCTCCTCCTCCCAACATTATTGATTCCCTCCTCGTCCACTCCCCTTTGACAATCAATTTGTAGTTTCGGCAACCGCATGTCACCACTGTGTCTCATACACTTCAGCTTTTTGTGCAACATGTGTGGCGCAAACTGCGTGAATCGATCTGTGTGGTGGAATATGTGTGTCGTGCCATGCCTTGCTTACGTTGCCGCGTTGCAGCCTTGCTACATATCTTCCCCAAGCGCGACGACGGATATGCGCGGCAGCGCAACTGGATACGAAATTGTCCGGACGGAAAAGCTGGCCAAAAGGTCCAGCGCGGACGCTGTCCATGGTGCCTGGCTCCAAATCCATCAGCACGGCGCGCGGAACATAACGGCCCCCTGTGGCCTCATTGTAGTAGACGTTGATGCGCTCGAGCTGGAGGTCGGAATCTCCATGATAAGTGCCTGTAGGATCTATACCATGTTCATCAGAGATTACTTCCCAGAACTTTGCCTGCGGGCCACAAGAATATACACCACCACGTCGATCCCCCCCCCCATCATCTACCCTCCTCTTGCTCTCCTGTTTCCTGGTAGATGGGAGGGGATGAGGGAACTGGTGGTGGTGTATACTTTTGGGCCCCGTATTGCCCCGATCTGGTTGCCGCACTGGCCACCCTGGATGTGCACCAACTCGCGCATGGCTGCTTATCGGAAGAAGCTGATTTCCGATTGTTCGGATGACTTCAGGCGTCGAACACTCGCTCGGGCCAAAACAGAGACAGACACATGATTGGCAGTAACACGGATAATGATACTGGATTCAAAAACACGAAGCCAGCGCATACAACAAAGCATTGAACATGCGCAACCCACAGGGCACAATACGGGGTGCCGTCGACGCAATGCATTCGGCAGAACTGAGGGCGACAGCTCCAATGATCGAACAAACATCCCGCCCACACACCAACAACGTTTTGGTAAAGCTCCAGAGAACGTGGGCGATGCTACTCATCATGACTGGGAGGGTGCGCCGCTGAATCTCCCCAAGGGGGGGGGTTTAGGACCCCCCCCACCCCACCCACCGATCCGTCGTCGGGGACCACCCCCCCCCCCCCTTCCCCGATCCGTCGTCGGGAACCCCCCCCCCTTTCCCCGATGCGTTCGTCAGTCCTCCCAAAGGGAATCCGAGCATGCCGAAGAAGACGAGGAGGTATTGGAGCTCTTCCTTAGGCTTGCTTCATCCGCCCTTGCTCTCTGGAGCGCCTCCACACAGGAAGAAGGACCTCGCCTCCTCCCTTCGTGCGTGAAGCGCCGCTGCAGCTGCGCAAAGGTGCTTGTAGAGAAGAAGACATGTGGGGGACATGTCGGCCTCGCCACCTGCTGGCCGCGGGGGGGGGGGGGGGCCTGGCGGCGGTACCCCCTCGTACCCAGTATGGCCATAGCCCCCTCGTCCGTCCTACGCCGCCCAACCTCGCCTCCAGTACCTCTGGCACCGCAGCGCGTGATGCTGGCATGTAGATCATTCACGCGCTGGCCCTGCAAGGAGAATCCCAGGTCCGAATGGCCTGCGTCACGGTCCCAAATCCATGCTGCCCTGCAGGCGCGAGGGGTGTGCCCAGACGAGAACCGTCGCCTTAAGGTCCTCAGATCCCCAGGGACATGTCTTGCATGCAACCTCGTACCCTCAAGGGGCAATGATCATGAGCCACCAGTGAGGCTGCCCCACGGAGGGTATATCAAATGTGGACCTAGCCAAAACCTGGAATTTGGCACCTGCGTCGGCGCACACCGCGTCAGAATTGAACCGTTACAGTATCCTAACCACAAAACGCGCGTTTGGTCAGCAGCGTCCGAGCGAACCCGATGCGTTTGAGGCCAGCGTGGGGATGCCACGGCAAGCGGAGTGGGCATAGAAAAAAGGAAGCGACGCGGAGGGAGGGAGAGAGGAAGAGGCCGCGGGAGCACGCTCAGAGTAACCACGAGAAGCACGGGCTGGGTAAGTTCCTAGAGCCGCTCGTACGTGTGACTGACCTCTCAAGCCCAGCAGTAGCCTCCTGGTGCCCAGCAGCGATGTGCCAGACTGTGCTGCACACTAGGTAGGCACTGTGCCAGACTGAACGAAACAGAGAACTACATGATTAACCATACGCTGTCGGAGGTCGGACCCTCTCTCGGCGTCTCCAGCGCCGCCACTGGCGCGCTTCGCCCGCCAAGGAGAGGGGGTCTGCAGCGCAGATCCAAGGGATCCTCCCGGACCTCCGAGAAGGTATGTTCATGCCGCCCTTCTCCGTCGACGGACGATTGCGTTGCCCTTGCACTGGCGGGAGTGCGCGCAGTGAGCCCTGCGATCCGATCTGTTGTGTCATGCTCCATACGGGTCCCGACCACTTTCGTAGCCATCTCTTCGGTTTGAGCGCGCGTCCTCTCCATCCGTCTCTCGCCTCCATGTCCTCCTCCTCCGCCTCCTCCGCCTCCTCCTGCTCCTCCGCCTCCTCCTCCTCCTCCTCCCCCTTCTCATCTTCACCTCCTCCGCCTGAGATTCCTCCATCCCCCCTCTTCCGCCCAAACGCGGGCCACTTCGATGGATCCGAGCCCTTGTTCATCGTTGTCCCCCCGCTTATGTCACCTCCTCGGCCTTCCCCTGGCCGTCCCGCTCCTCCCGCTCCTGCCGCTCCACGTTCCGATGCTGCAATTCGTCCTCGTCCTCCCTCTTCCACATCCTCTTGCTGTTCCTCCTTCTGTTCCTCCTGCTCATCCTCCTGCTCCGCCACCACCACCACCACCAGCTCCTCATCCTCCTCCTCCTCCGCCGTTGGTCGGCCATGGCACGTGCGCGCGGATAAAAAGCAACAGCGTAAGAATTGGGAAGGAAGGGGGAGGAGGTGGTAGGATGTCAGGTGTGGCGCGAACGTACCTAGCTTGGCCACCGCATCTCTCCTCTCTGCTCCCTCCTCCCTCCATCCTCCTCCCCCTCCCCTTCCTCCGTCCCGATTCCTCCCCCCTGCTCCTTCTCCTCCTTCCCACAGCTCCTCCCCCTCCTCACCCTCCTCTCCCTGACACTTCCCTCCCTCCTCCCCCTCCCCTACCCCTCCCCTCTCATCCTCCACATCATCATGTTCCATCCACCTCTCCTCCCTCCTCCTCCTCCTCTCCTCCTCCCTCCTCCTCCTCCTCCTCCTCCTCCTCCTCCTCCTCCTCCTCCTCCTCCCTTAACTCTAACTTCTCCAACTCCTCCTCCTCCTCCTCCTCCTCCTCCTCCTCCTCCTCTCCTCCTCCTCCCTCCACCTGCTCCTCTCCTCCTCCTCCTCCTCCTCCTCCTCCTCCTCCTCCTCCTCCTCCTCCTCCTCATCCGCCTCGTCCGCCTCCGCCTCCTCCTCCTCCTCCTCCTCCTCATCCTCCTGCCTATCCACCTTACCTGCCTCGCGCCGCCATTCGCCGCCCCGCGGCCCCCTGGGGGCGCGCGCGCCTCCAGTGCCACTTCCAAATCGCCATCGACGGGGTCCACCGGCCCCAGCCCGGCGCCGGGCTCAGCGACGCTCGCAAACTGAGCGGGCGCGGCCGTCGCCGCCGCCGCAGTCGCCGCCGCCGCCGTCGTCGTCCACACCGCCGCTGCCGTCGTAGTAGTCGCCGCCGTCGTAGTTGTTGGCGTCGACGGCGCTTCCGCCGTCCTGAATGGATCTGGGTGTGGATCAAACTCAGATGTGCGACGAGGCATTCTCCCTGTGTCTGTCTATATATGTATATGTACTAAAATAAGGATCCGCCACAGTGCCTCTGGGCACGGAGTGGACGTACCCTCATGTCCGTTCCCTTCTCCTCTGAACCTCACTCCTCACCCCTAAGCAGTCTCCCAGGGGCCCGGACCTTGGGCTTCTCGCGTGCCCCCTGGGCTCCCCCGCGTGGTGGCGCGTAATTTTTCTGGGTCCCCAAGAAGGGCCACGAGGGCCCAAGGGGCCCCCAAGACGGCCCAAGTGGGCCCCGAGACACCGAAAGATCACCCCCAGGTGCGCAAGATGGCCTCCAGAAGGCCCACGAGGCCCCCAACACGCCCCAAGGGGCCTTCAGGAGGCCTCCCAAGAGGCAATAGTCCTTGCTGTTCCACTAGTTTTTGTATGTAGCGTTCTCGCCGAGACGGCCCAAGAGGCCCCGACCACCCCAAGACTGCCCAAGAGGCCTCCAAGAAGGCCCAAAGACGACCCAAAAGCCCCTGAAGACGGCCCAAGAGGGCCCCCAGAGACCCCCGAGACGGCCAATATAGCCTCCAAGACAGCCCTGAAGTGCCTCCAGAGTGCTCCCAGACAGCACAGCGAGGCGCCCAAGACGGCCTTCGACGGGCCAGTCACCCCCTAAGAGAGGAAGCACGAACCGAAAATCCGAGCCGTCCGCCCTGGGGGCCCCCCAGGAGGCCGAATGGGGCGCCCAAGAGACCCCGAGAGGCCCCCAATAGGCCCCCAGGAAGCCCCAATAGGCCCCCAAGAGGCCCGAAAGAGGCTCCACCAGACCCCGAAACGGCCCCAAAGAGGCCTCATAACTGCCTCCAAGAGACCCTCGAGAGGCCTCCCACGAGATACCAACGAGCATCCAGAAGGCTACAAAACCACAACCCAGGCACGGTGGCGAGATGGGCCGAAGGCCACTAGATCCGCCGCCCCCTGTTGATTCATCACAGGGGTGCCTGGCGTGCCAGACTATTACGGTTTTAGTTTTGGTTCTTTTTCCAAAAGAACTCCCCCTGGGGCTGCGCGTCCCGCTGGGGTCCCGGGAGGATTGCCAAGGACCTCAATTCCCCAATTTCCTGCCCAAGACGGCTCCAAGATGGCCTCCAAGATGCCTCCAAGACGGCCAGGATGGCCTCCAAGACGGCTAAGATGGCTTTAAGATGCTTCCAAGACGGCCCGAGATGTACCCAAGACGGCCTAAGATAGCCTCAAGATGGCCCAAGGCGGCCCAAGAAGCCCCTAAGAGGCCTCAAGGACAGCCCAAGAGCCCGTCGAGAGGTTCTCCAGGAGGGCCCGAAGAGGCCAAAATCAGTGATTTTCCAACGGTTTTTGAAGGATTTTGGAATGTGCGCCTTTTCGGCTTTCCGGCGGCCTAAGACGGCCCAAGAGGCCTCCAAGACGCCCAAGATGGCATACAAGACGCCCACGATGGCCTCCAAGACGGCCCCGAAGCGCACCAAGAGGGCCCCAAGTCGGCCCAGAAAGGCCCCCAAGACGGCTCCCGACGGCGTCGGACGTGCCAGGAACCCACCAAGATGGCCGAAGTTGGCTCGAAGCTGGCCCAAGACTGTCTAAGAGGCCCCCAAGAGGGCCTCCAGGAAGGCCAGAAGAGGCCAAAAACATGGATGTTCCTATGGTTTTTGACGGATTTGAACATCTGCTTCATTTCGGCCTTCTGACGGCCCGAGACGGCCCAAGAGCCCCCAAAGGATCGCCGAAAGATCGCCCAAGAGGCCTCCAAGATGGCCCCCGAACGGCCCAAGAGGGCCCCAAGACGGCCCCAAGAGGCCCCCAAGACGGCCCAGGAGGCCTCTAAGACGCCCAAGATGGCCTCCAAGACGGCCCTGGAGCATTCAAGATGGCCCCAAGTCGGCCCATAGAGGCCCCCAAAACGGCTTCCGACGGCGACAGACGGACCAGGAGCCCACCAAGACGGCCGAACATGGCCCTAAGATGGCCCAAGACGGCCCAAGAGTCCTCCTAGAGGGCCTCCAGGAAGGCCCGAAAAGGCCAACATCATTGATTTTCCATGGGTGTTTGAAGGATTGCGGCATTTGCTTTTTTCTGCCTTCCGACGGCCCGAGACGGCCCAAGTGCCCCCAAAGATCGCCCAAGAGGCCCAAGACACGGCCCCAAGAGGCCCCCAAGACGGCCCAAGAGGTCTCCAAGACGCTCAAGATGGCCTCCAAGACGGCCCAAGAGCCCTCCAAGACGTCCTCCAAGAAGGCCCGAAAGAGTCAAAATGGCCTCCAGACGGCCAAGATGACCTTCAAGATGCCCACGTGTTCCCCGAAGGCGTTCCAAACCGATTCGGGGAACACATGGTCCGATAGCTTGGCAGGTCTGGCCTCAACGTTCGGCCACATAGGCGCTTCCAAAAAGGCAGGGGGCGGCGGTGATTCGCCGTAGGCGTCTTCGATACTTGCAATAGCTGCAGGCGGCAGAAGAAACATAAACACACAGGCTGTAACTCGCCTGCTAGACTGGTTTCCGGATCACCGCTCAAACCAACTGCGTCCCTTCTCCTCTACATGCTGCTGCTGCTGCTGATCATCAGGCTCCTCCTCATACTCCTCATCCTCTTCCTCCTCCTCCTCCCCCTCCTCATAATCAAAATCAGCATCAGCATCATCAGCATGATCGTCACAATCGTCAGCATCATCGTCAGCATCATCATCAGCATCATCAGCATCATCAGCAGCATCACCATCATCATCATCATCATCATCATCCTCATCATCCTTGGTTATCATAATCCTCATCACCATCAGCAGCAGCATCAGTTATCATCGTCATCGTCATCAGCATCAGCATCACCCGCCTCATCAACATTATCACCATCATCATCATCGTCATCATCATCCTCATCATCATCAGCAGCATCGTCGACATCATCATCATCATCATCATCATCATCATCATCATCATCATCATCATCATCATCACGACAACAGAACCCTCATCAGCAATGGCAGCATCAACATCATCATCGGCGTTCTCACGTTCATCAACATCATGATCATACGTACCATCATAATCACCATCACCATCATGACCACCATCATCACCACCATCATAACAATGAACATCACCATCACCAACACCATCACAATCACCATCACCATCGTCGTCAGATTCCCGGGTCACTGCCTCCTCGTCATTGATCGAAAGTATATAACTGTCCTCTTCCTCCTCCTCCTACTCCTCCTCCTTCTCAGCTCTTCCTCGCCGCCTCCTTTACCTCCTCTGCCTCCTCGCCCCACCCTCGGCAATTTGACATTGTGAATACTATGTCCTTCTCTCTCCTGGACCCGTCCAGAAGGAAGCCGGTTCTCTCCACGCCAGATTGACCTTTTGCGCAGAATTGGGCATGTTTGTTGTTCATCCGGTTGGCTTGGGTGTTTCAACATGGTGTTCCCGCTGCAGCGTAGGCCTCATTTACGGATCGGCGCTGTGCTCCCGTCGTTCAGAATGGCGCTCTCGCCCCGGCGCGGCTCACTTCTCTGGATCCGAAAATTCGTCATCTTTGACGCCCCCTTCATTTCTCCTCCTCCGCCTTTCCCTGGTCATCCTGTTCCACCGCTTCTTCCACTACAATTCCTGCTGCTGTCGTCGTCGTCATCGTTATCCTCCTCCTTCTTCCACATCCTCCTCCTCCTCCTCCTCCTCCTCCTCCCATCCTTTGCCTGCTGCTCATCCTCCTGCTCACCCTCCTTCTCCTCCTCCTCCTACGTACGCAGCTCCCCCTGTTCCGATTGCGCATAACACGATGGGCTTCTTGTTCAGAGTCCCAGGTCGGCTATGACACGCGTCCGCGGATAGAGAGAAAACAAGCCAGCGCAATACGTTTTTGGGAAGGAAGGAGGAGGAATAGGAGCAGGGCTGAACCTAAACGGTGTTTTTGTTATCGTGCTGTGTTCGTTTTCTCTCGTTTTGTCTTCAATCCGCCTTTAGCGCAAAACGACATCGAAACGAAAGCGGCCAACAAGATCGCTAAAACACCGTGTAGGTCCACCCCTGAATAGGAGGTCAGATGTGGCGCGAACGAACCTGGCTTGCCCTCTCTGTCTCTCTCGCCTTCCACCTCGCCATCATCCGCCCTCCTCGCCTTCCTCTGCGCCCATTTTCCCCCGATGAATACGACAGAAGAGGGGGTGGGGGGGGTGGGGAAACCCTGTGGGGCTGCTCGACGTTACAGACAAGGAGGGGGCAAGGGGGAGAGGGGGGGCGTGGGAGAGGAGGTGGAGGAGAGGGGCACGGGGTTGCGGACATGGCATCCTGCCGCAGGGAATCTGGAAAAACGAGACGTTGGCAGGACTGGGTTTCGTTGGACCTGGTTCAGTGATGTGTACCAAGGGACGCCCCCCCGCCCCGTTCTTCTAACCGGAACTGCTGCCATCCGAAAGAACACCAGCTACAGCAGACCTGGTTCAATGATTCCGTTCCATTTGTTGGACTTCGAGGCCCAATCACAATCCAGCTCCCTTACCGGGGGTCCTGGCTATGTCCGAGTGGGGACTGGCAACTCCATTGAGGATGGGAGCGGCCAGTGCCGTCTGAGGCCGGGAAAACAAGAGGTAAACTGCGAGGGGGCTGGAAAGAGTGGAGGCGCTGGCCCCACCCACTCTTTCCAGCTCCTCTGCTCTTGGGAGGCATCCCCCAAGGTGGCACGCCTCCTTCGCGATGCCCTCTCTCGCTCTGACCTGGGCGGCCGCCTCCCGAGGTGGGCGTTGCTGTTCCTTTTCCGCATGTCCGCGCACCGATCAGACGCTGCCGACCCGCGTGCTGCCCCCCCAAAGGTCGATGCGCCCCTTCTTGCCCTGGCTAGAGCGTCAACCCCCAAGGTGGACGCCTCCCCTCAGAAGTCCGTGCGCCGATCAGGCGCTGCAGAGAGAGAGAGAGAGAGCGTCGCCCAGAGAACAAAAACAAATCCTGCGTGCTGCTCCCGCTGCAGTTGCCGCAGGCGTCCTGCTGCTCGCGCGCGGCCAGGATCCGTCGCGCCGCCCACGAGCGCGCCGCGCCGCCCGGCCGCGCGGCCCACCCAGAGGCTGCGCGCCGGGCGGGCCCCCACCTGGCCCGCTCGGGGCCGCCCGCCCTGCTGCTCCTGCCGCCGGGCACACCCCGGCCTGGCCGACCCCGCGGTTGGACGTCTTCCGCTCCGCCCAGCTGTGATGCGTGCGCCGGCCGCGCTCGGCGGCTCCCCCTCCTTCGGTCGCGACCAATAGCGACTCATCGGCCCTCCAAATCGGTCGCGACCGATCGCGACCGATCCCAAAATCGGTCGCGGCTGGTCGCCACCGATCGCGGCCGATCGGTAGCGACCGATCGGTCGCGACCGATGTTGAAGCAAGTCGATCGCGACCGATACCGAAATTTGAAGCAAAATCGGTAGCGACCGATCTCGTCGGTCGTGACTGGAAAAATCCAATACCCAATGATCTGGGTTCCCCCCCTTCTCCTGCGCCGCCACCCGCCCCCTGGGCTTCGCCTGGCGATGTCAGCCGGCGTTCCCTCCCCTGCTGCACCGCCTCCGCCGTTCCGCGCCCTCGGGGCTCAACACGGCAGCATTCTGCTGCAGCCCGCGCGCATTGGCGCAGCCCCGTGCACCTCTCTCACGGCCATGCGGACCGTGTCTCGCAGTCAACTGGCGCCGTGTCTTTGCAGCCAAGCTTGACGCACCCGGCATCGTGGTCGACATGTGGGTGCCCCCGCGCCTACTGCAATGGGTCCTCTTCGTGCCGTTGATCCCGACGCACTGGTTCGCCTTGCCCTGTCACGCTTCCAGCGCCTGCAGCCTTGGCTTCGGCCCGTGGGCGTGGTCGTGGCGCCGCCCCGCGCCCACTGCCAGGTCTCCTCAGCTCAGGGTGGCCGCACCAGCGCGCTCATCCTCAAACTCTTTCACTGGGGGGTGCCCTCCTCCTCCTCCGCCTGTTTTTTTTCGCGGCGGCCCCCTCCCCGAATGTTCTTCTACTGCTGCCTGTAATTCGAAAGACGTGAGCCCCAGGCTACTAAACCGCGCGTGCGGATCGCCTCTGCCGCGCTGCGACGTAAACAAGCGTTTTCGCAAGATCGAAGATTCTCAGAGGTTTGTCTTCCGATGGGGCGCTTCCCAGAATCGAACTAATTGATTGCAGGGACCTGTGAAAAGGGAACTCGGAGGGAGGGTTCATTGCAACAACGCTGCAGCATCTTGCGTTTACTCTGGTTTTCTTCCTCCTCATCTGCAGAGGGAACAGCAGCAAAAGAAAGAGAGAGAGAGAGAGAAGCGTCAGCGGACGCCTGCGGCGTCGCCGAGTTCGGGTGCCAGATCGCCCCCTGCACGCCGGGAGGGGGGGGGGAATCTGCTTCGCAGCGCTGGGGCGGGTGTGCGGACGGGGAGATGCCACGAGAACGCCGGGGCAGTCAGCATCGAATCAGGGAAGTCGGATCGAATCGGAAAAATCGACGAATCGGGCTGAATCGGCACGGAGTCGGAATCGAATCGGATCGGCTGCGCCAAATTGCACACAAGCGCCATGCAAACATCGGGACGTCGGATCGTTGGACTATCGGAAACGAATCGGGTCGGGCCGTCAAAACCCGACCTCGAATCGGATCGATCAGATCGAAATAGACCCTGGAACGTGGGTCAAGAACGTGGGCCCAGTCTACGACAGCCCAAGGCAAAATGAAGACACCCAAAGCGAAGGCCAATGCGAGGTAGAGATCCCACACACGGAGAAGGTGAGGGTGCAAAGGTTGTTCTTAAACCTCGTGCCAACTGTAAGGCTCGAGCTTGTGGGGCTCGAATTTGCCTGCCAAGCCAGAATAAAAATGGCGGGCATCAGTCTGAAATGTGACGCGCCCTCCCACTTCGACCGTGACAAGTCACGCAAGAATCGTCAAAAAGCGGCGGCTAACCAGAAGTTACAGCAAACTCGAGCCTGATAAGTAGACCCCGGAGATCACAATGAAGACGAAGGCAGAACGAGGACGACAAAGTCGGATGCGGACACATGGGGGATCCCTGAGAGCTGGTGGATCTGGAGGCTGTATTCGGCACCACGGTCATTCCAGAGCGCTCTGGAACGCTCTGAAAGCGCTCTGAGAGCATTCCAAAACACTCCAGAACGATTTGCCCTCATCCTAAGCCTGCCTGACCCACCCTCTCCCGGCGACCCGTGCTTCACCCGGGACCTTGTATGGACGGCCCAGAACCCAGCGAGGGCCGCCCGAGGGCCTAAAGTTGCAAAACTGCACCCGGTGTGATTTCCTGACACAACTCGGGACGGCCTGGGGGGCGGCGCGAGGGGCGGGGCTGGAGAAGGACAGGAGGGCGGCGGCCGATCCGATCGCTCAGGCTTGTCGTCGTCGGCGTCGGCGTCGGCGTCGTCGTCGTCGTCGTCGGCGGCGGTATATCACCTTTTGCTTATAAGCTGGCCTCGCCCGTCCCTGGCTGGGCTGTTGGGGGGGGCTGGCGTGGGCCCGCAGAGCCTGCGGGACGGGCGTCTGGCGGGCCCTGGCCGTCCACACCTCATGCGCCACAAACTGGCCGAACACAGAGCAAGACTTGTTTTGTTGTACGATAGTCGTTCTTTTTGACTACGTGCACGATCCAATCGTCCTCCTGCTGCTGTTTCTCCTCCTCCTCCTCCTCCTCTTCCTCCTATTCCTCCTCCTCCTCCTGCTCCTCCCCTCATCCTCCTCCTCCCCCTCACCCTCCTCCTCCTCCTTCTCCTCCTCATCATCACCACCATCACCATCATCATAGAACTCCTCGTCATCACCATCAAAGGCATCATCAGCATCAACATCATCAGCAGCAGCAGCCGCATCGTCATCATCATCATCATCATCATCATCATCATCATCATCATCATCATCGTCATCATCGTCATCATCATAATCATCATCAGTATCATCATCATCGTCATATTCATCATCGTCATCATCAGTATCATCCTCGTCGTCTTCGCGGTCGTCGACTTCGTTGTCGTGGCCGTCAGCAGCACCGTCACCATCACCATCACCGTCACCATCACCGTCACCACCACCATCATCATCATCATCATCATCAGCATCAGCAGCATCAGCATCAGCATCAGCATCAGCATCATCATCATCATCATCATCATCATCATCATCATCATCATCATCATCATCATCATCATCATAATCGTCATCATCACCATCACCATCACTCTCGCCATCACCCTCACCCTCTCGATCACAATGACCATCACCATCACCATCACAAGCACCACCACAATCACCATCACCATCTCAAGAACAATCACCAACACTATCTTCAACATAGTCATAATCCACATCGCCATCACCTCCACCATCACCACGATACCATATGCGTCACCATTACCGCCACATCCACCACCAGCATCACCACCACCAACACCACAACACATCACAATGTAATAGATAAGTACCACCACCATCACCATTACCATTACCACCATCATCATTATCACCAGCATCATCAGCTGTAGCATCATCATGATCACCACCATCATCGTCGTCATCATCAACATCATGATCATGATCATGATCATGATCATGATCATCATCATCATCATCATCATCCTCATCCTCATCCTCATCCTCATCCTCATCCTCATCATCATCATCATCATCATCATCATCATCATCATCATCATCATCATCATCATCATCATGAGTATCATCATCATCATGGCCGTCATCAGCACCATCATCATCACCATCATCGTCATCTTCATCAGCAGCATCATCACCAGGACCATCATCATCATCACCATCAGCCCTCTTGCCACGCCCGCCCGCCGAGCGGCCTGGTTGTTGAGGTGCGGGCCCTCCCGGGGCACCGCGGAGACTTGCCTGGACTGCCAGCGGGCGCGTTTTGGGGGGCGCCTCGCAAGAGGGCACGGAGGAGGGAGGAGAGGGAGCAGGAGGCGAAACGGGAGAAAGGCGGCGGGGGCGAGGAGGGGGGGAAAGCAGGAAGGCGGAGGAGGGAGGCGGAGGAGGTCGGAGAGAGATCGGGAATGGGAATGGTGATGGACCCTTACCCTTCCCACTCGCACGGGAGGAGGAGGAGGAGAAGGAGGAGGAGGAGGAGAAGGAGGAGGAGAGAGGAGGAGAGGGAGGAGGAGGGAGGAGGAGAGAGGAGGGAGGAGGGATGAGGAGAGGGAGGAGCAGGGGGAGGAACCAGAGGAGAGGAGGAGAAGAGGAGGAGCAGGGCGGATGGGAGAGGAGGAGAAGAGGAGGAGCAGGGCGGAGGGGGAGGAGCGGACGGTTTGGGGCCGTCTTGGGCCAGCAGGGGCCCTCGCCGGGGCTCGGGAACGTCAAACAACGCCTCGGAACGAAAACCCGACCCTAGGGAAGTGGTCCGGACCTCCGGGGCCCACACATCAAAAAAGTTGGAGCGGCCAGATGTCTTGGCTCTTGGGCGTCGCTCAATGGGCGGGGGCGATGAATGGGGGTGGACGACAGGTGCAATTCTCGGGCCCTGAAGGCCCCCTTTTGGTGCCTAAAGGGCCCCTTCAGGGGCCCGAAGAGGGCCCTTTGCTGCAACCCTCGCTGCCCCCCAGTGCATCGCCCCGCCATCACGCAGCGCCCACTGACGTTGCAGTTCCTTCGGGCTGGCCGTTTTCGCCAGGTTTCAAGCCAAGGGGCCACCAGCGATCGATCCATCTCGAGAACTGATGGAGAAGGATGAGGTCTGGGGATCTGGGAGGAGAGCCTAGAATCGAATCGATGATTCGAACTGGTGATCGAAATGAGCTCGCTCGGTGGAAATCGACAGCCAAAAGTCGGAAAAAGTCGAATCGGTGGAAATCGACAGGCCAGCATGGCCTCCATGTGGGACATCGGAATCCAGATCGGAATCCGAAGTCGAATCAAATCGGAATCGGAATCGATCGAAATCGAACCGAATCGAATCGATCGAAATCGAACCGAATCGACTCGAATCGAATCCGGTCGTGAGTGGTTCCGGTGCCCCACTGCTGCGCAACTGCCGGGGAGGTTCGGCGGGCGCAGCCCGCCGAAGAGCCGAGGCCCCGAGCTCGCAGGCAGCGACGCAGGTGCGCAGAGGGCCTCCCTGGCGTTTTCGACAAAAACGCCCACAAGTACAACGCCTAGAGGATGGCGCAAGAGCGCCCCCCGCGCCCCCGATGTCGATGTCCATCCAAGGGAACAGGCCGCGGTTTGCAAATGTGGGCGTCTTTTTCGAAACGACTCGCCCCTCCGACCTCCGCCGATGTGCTCGGGCGTTCGCTAATTAATGGGGGGGCGAAGATGGGGGCGTAGGAGAGGTGCACCTTTCGTGCACCTTTTGTACAGTCGGACTTGACTGGAGAGGACACGCGAGAGGACGCAAGACCCTTCCGAGGGCCACATTGCCATAGGAATGCGGAAAGGCATGCGTCGCGAGGCACAGGACACAAGGGTACCCTTGATCTGGCAAGGCCGACCTATTAATCAAGGCCGACTGTACCCCTTCGGGGCCCTGGGGGGCTCGTTTAGGGCCCCTCTAGGGCCCCTTGCGTGCAGCCCTCGACGCCCCCCCATGTATCGCCCCCCCATTACCGAACGCCCGATGTGCAAGCACAGTCAGGCTGCCGGGAGCTCGTGGAACAGGCAGATCCATCAGCGCAGGAGCCTACCTCGCTGGAAGATACACCTGGCCATCGCTCCGACGTCCATTCCCCGTGCATCGTTGTGTTCAGTGTTCAGTGCGAGTGCTTCTGGCTCCTCAAGATGGCCCAAGGGTGCTCCCGAATGGTGGCCCCTGATTTTCTGGCGCTTACCTCCACGCGAAAAATGGTCCGAACGATGCCCAAACACAACATCAACGAAAACTGCCGCCTCCCCCAATCCACCACTCACGGAAAAGAGCAGCGCATCTCACTCAAAAGCATGATTTTCTCGGCGGCGCGCCCAGGGGGGAAGTGGGAGGGGGCAGGCCTTTTCAAAGGCGGCGGGGCCTGTCAGAAGCCCCGCCGCCTTCTGAGGAGCCGCCTCTCGGAGCAGGCTGAGCAAACTCCTCGGGAGGCTGGAGGACTTCTGAATCCTCTGAGGAGGCCCGCCCCCATCTGCCTCCCCCCCGTTTGGTGAGGGGCAACGATAGGGGGGATAGGGAAAGGGGGGGAAACATCGACCTGCAGTCGGCGATACATCGCCGATAGATCGGCGTTGGGCCTCCGATAGCGAATCCACACTTTCCTGAGCAGGTTGGGGCTATCGGGCCCCTATCGGCGATCAATGGGCCCCTATTGGGGGTCGATGCATCCCCCCCTCATGCCTCCCCCCCCCATCGTTGCCCCCGGCTTGGGCTCGCCGCCGATGTTCGCTTCCCGTGGCCACCAAAGCCTCGAGACGCGCCGCAGAGAAGGCAGCCTCGATGGGTGGGCCGCTCGCCACGTGCCCGCGCAGGCTCCCGCGAGGCGGCGAGCTCGAGAGACCCCTGGGGACCAGAGCAGCCCCCTCGCCCGACTGCCCCGCGAGGGCGAACCCTCGGCGGGCGGGAGCGGAAGAACATGCCCAGGCATGCGACGCTGCGACGTCCTGATATTCTCAGTACGGGGACCCCGGAGGTCCCGACCCGTTCCCCGGGGCTGGCTTTTCATCCCGGGTCGTTTCTGACGGTCGGTCCCGAGGCCCGGCGAGGGCTCCCGAAGCCGAAATTGGCCCAAAACCTGCCGTCCTGCTTCACTTACGACGCGATCATGTCTGGGTGCCCTTCCCCTCGAGTCGCGTGGCGGCCTGGGGCAAGGGGAGGCGAACAGGCCGGCCACTGCCCTTCGGACTCGGTCCGAGAGCGCCGAGGGACGCCCGCGCAGCTCGACCAGGCCCTGCCCCCGAGGAGGCCATGAGGAGGAAGAGCGTCAGGGGGAGGGGTGAGGAGGGGAGTAGAGGAGAAATGAGCAAGAGAACGACGACGATGAGTCATCCTACATCTTCCTGATCCCCCCACGCTCTCCCCCTCCCGCCTGGTCCGTCCTCCCTCCTCGTTTGTCAGTCCTCTCCCTCCTCCTCCTCCTCCTCCTCCTCCTCCTCCTCCTCCTCCTCCTCCTCCTTCTCGTCTCCTGGTCCACCTAGCCCTCCTCGTCCTCCTCCTCCTGCTCCTCATTATCCTCATTCTCCTTTCTCCATGCAGCGGTCCAGTCAGCATGCATCATTACGCACGTGAAGGCTGCATGGTTGACGTGGTGTCCGCCCGCAGGTATATTATTCTATCCACTCTAGGCCACGTGATGTGCGACCTCCACTCACCTGGCTCCGCTGCCAACGGCCGCCAACGGCGACAGCAAAAGCGCAAGCCGACCGAACGGACAGCAACACCGATATCAACCAAAACCGACATGCCGCAAGCAGCCTAGAAGGGCGCAGCAGCACAGCGAAGACGCGACAACCTACAGAACCGAATAAACCGAAAACAATAAACTGCGACTAAGCGGGCACGGCCGAACCGCGAACACCCTCGGTTATGGTGGCCCGTTCGCGCTCTAGTCGCACAACCAATACGATCATCGTGTTCCTGTCCGTCTGCCTCTATGTAGCACAACTCTCATCCGCATCCTCACCAGCATCATCATCAGCCTTACCAATGTAACCATCAACATCGTCGCTGTCACCTTGCCCACAATCATCAGCATCATCAGAAACATCAACGTCCTCATCAACCCACGACCGTCATCAACAACGCCATGGTCAGCACAATAATCATGGGCACCACCACGACCACCATCATCCTCCGTACCATCATCATTATCACCACCATCCTAGTCAACATCATAATATTCATAATCATCATCACCACCACAACCATCGTCATCGTCGCCCTACCATCATCATCACCACCAACATCAGCAGTATCATCATCATCGTCAGCATCAGAATGACAACCATAATCATTATAATAATCAGCATCACCATCATCAGCAGCAACAGCAGCGTCAGCATCATCATCATCATCATCATCATCAGCAGCAGCAGCATCATCAGCATCACCATCATCATCACGCCGACGACAACTGCAGCCAAACCGACAACGCCGCTGTTAGGCAAGCGACGCGTGATCTTACTTTACGTCCGCGGCGACCTGGGCAGCGAGTCCTGCTCAAAATGGGCAGGAACTGCTGTTGGCCGATCTTCTTCATAGTGCTTCCGCACCCACTTCATTCGTACAGATCGACTGCGGCGACGGCGGCGACGACGACAACGACGCCGACGGCAGCCGACGACGACGGGGACGGGGACGACGACGACAACGACGACGACGACGACGACGACGACGACGGTGGCAACAGTGACGACCGACGCTCACGACGACGACGACGACGACGAACACGACGACGACAGGACGTTGGACACGACGAGACCGGCGACGACGCCGACGACGCCGACAACGCCAGCGGCGGCGACGCTTCGACGAGCCGCCCCCGAAGGAAAAGCGGCAGGGAAAGGGCGCGACGCGCGCGAGCTGGGTGTTGCCTGACGTGGTCCTGGCCCGCGGTATTACCAGCTCTTCGCGCCGATCTGGGGCCCACTGGGTCAGGGGCAACGATGTGGGATGACAACTTCAGGGGGGATGCATCGGCCCGCAATCGTTCATCGCCGATAGGGGCTCGATAGCCCACACCGAGCAGGACCGTGCGGATTCGCTATTGAGGGCCTGTTGCCGACCTATCGGCGGTGTGTCGCCGATTCCAGGTTGATGCTTCTCCCCTTAGCTGGCCCCACCCCTATGGTTGCCCCCCAGGGGCTCGAGACCAGAGCTCTCCTCCGGTGAATCGGCGCTCTGCCTTAAAACAACAAAAGACGGCGTTCGACGTCTGCTGCGGTTGCTTTGATAGTGTCAAGCAACTCGTGCTCGAACCTCGTGACGGGTGCTCTGGATCTCGATTGCTCTTAAACCGCAGAGGGGCGTGTTTCCCCGTTGTCTAGTTTTCTTTATTTAGGAAGCGTTTGGCCATAGCGACCCCTCATCATCCCCGGCAACACGTGCAGCGCGTCTGAAACAAGGTGGATGTAATGTCAGTTCATGGAAGAAAACAACATGCGTATACAGTGGGAGAGACCTGTCTCCAGGACGATCGCCTCGATCTGAAAAAAGGACGCTGCATGCCCCAAAAACTTTGCACCGCAAGCTACCTCGGTCCAAGGCTGCGCTCTTGCCGTGCCGTTGTCTACTTTAGCTGTTGTTTCAAACAGGCCGCGTGAACAACATACATCCCTGGTGGAAATGCGACATCCCGAATCGTAGTGCAAACGTCATGTAAACGGAAATGAGACGAGCAGGAGGGCCAGGGGCTAATCCTGGACCTGCGAGCATAATAAACACCGCCCCAGAAGGAAACACGCAACGTCGACCTCTCCCCCATAACAACAAAACGCCCTCAACGCATTTCAGAACATCTAAGCAAACTCGGAAATCCGCTGACCCGGATCAATCCAACCGGGGGTCAGTCAGGCCTCGCAGGAACCTGCGACATCATGCAGGATCCTGCAAGCTCATGCACGCAAACCCGGGTCAATGCACCTTCGGCTCTGCAACACGCTGCGAAGATCTGGCACCTCTGACTGACCCCCGTTTGCATCGACCCCCGTCCCTTGAGCGCCGATCCGCTCTGGAGGCCACCTGGGCCCTCCCTGTGTATCCCGAGGACACCGTGAGCCAGGGACACCCTGTCTGGAGAAACCGAATGCACCGGTGCCGCTGCTCCCCGCACCTCTCCCCGGGGTGCGTTCCGACCCGGACTTCGAGGCGAGCCCAGCGGTGGCGACGGCAGCCTTCCAGGAGGCCGAAAAGGGGAAGACGGGCGAAGGGTGGCGGTAGCGGTGCCTTTTCCTCCTCTGATGTTCGTAGCCCTGCGAGCAAAGGGTGGCCTGTGCTGGTTCTCCGCGCTGCGGATGCGGCGCTGCGCGTTCTCTCCCCGGCCCTGCTCGCCTGGGCCTGGCCGAGGGAGGGCGGCGGGCGAAGGACGCAACCCGAGCACGTAGGCGTCGTGGCAAAAGCGACGACGGACAACGTATGGCCGTTTTCGGCCTCAAGGGCCCTCACCGGGCCCCAAGACCGTCAAAAAGGTAGCAGGGATGAAAAACCCGCCCTGGGGAAGGGGTCGGGACTTCCAGGGACCCCGTATTCAAAAAAAAAAAAGCCTGGCGAAAGACCCAACCATATACAGTCGTGAGTAACGCAATTGTGGGTATCGTCTTCGGTGGAGCTCCCTATCGGGACGAGAAACGAATGAGGGGTGTGCCGACATGGTTGGCGGGTACGCATGCGAACACCGCCACTGGGGTCTTCGGTGGAGCTCCCTATGGGGCCACGAAGCGTGTGAGGGGTGCGCTGGAATGGGTGGCGGGGACGCATGCGAATACCGCCACTGAGGCCTTCGGTGGAGCTCCCTATGGGGCCACGAAGCGTGTGAGAGGTGTGTGCCGAAATCGGTGGCGGGGACGCATGCGAACACCGTCATTGGGCCTTCGGTGGAGCTCCCTATTGGGCCACGAAGAGTGTGCTGGGTGTGCCAGAGTCGGTGGCCTGGACGCATGCGAACACCGCCACCGAGGCCTTCGGTGGAGCTTCGTATTGGGCCACGAAACCTGTGAGAGGGTATGCCGAAAAGGGGTGGCGGGTACGCATGCGAACACCGCCACTGGAGCTTCCGGTGAAGCGCTCCTATGGGGCCACGAAGCGTGTGAGAAATGTGTCAGAATAGGTGGCGGGGACGCATGCGAACACCGCCACTGGGGTCTTCGGTGGAGCTCCCTATGGGGCCACGAAGCGTGTGAGGGATGTGCCGAAATATGGGTGGCGGGACGCATGCGAACACCGCCACTGGGGTCTTCGGTGGAGCTCCCTATTGGGCCACGAAACGTGTGAGAGGTGTGCCGAAATCGGTGGCGGGGACGCATGCGAACACCGACACTGAGGCCTTCTGTGGAGCTCCCTATGGAGCCACGAAGCGTGTGAGGGGGTGAACCTGAAATGGGTGGCGGGTACGCATGCGAACACCGCCACTGGGGTCTTCGGTGGAGCTGTTTAATAGGCCACGAAGCGTGTGAGGGGTGTACCTGAATGGGTGGCGGGGACGCATGCGAACCACGCCACTGAAGACTTCTGTGGAGCTCCCGATGGGTCCACGACACGTGTGAGGGGTGTACCTGAATAGGTGGCGGGGACGCATGCGAACACCGCCACTGGAGCCTTCGGTGGAGCCTATGGGGCCACGAAACAGGGGTGTGCCGATATGGGTGGCGGGGACGCAAGCGAACACCGACACTGAGGCCTTCTGTGGAGCTCCCTATGGGGCCACGAAACGTGTGAGGGGTGAACCTGACTGGGTGGCGGGTACGCATGCGAACATCACCACAGGAGCCTTCGGTGGAACTCCCTACGGGGCCACGAAAGGTGTGAGGGGTGTGCTGAAACGGGTGATGACGATGATGATGGAGGGAGGAGGGGAGGAGGAAAGAAGGAAGGAACGCGAGGTCCGTCTTTTCAAAACGAGGACGGACCTAACACCACAGGATGGTTGGGAACAATACGTCGGAGTCTGGGTTCGAAGGAGAGGAGGGGGGGGCACAACGACGACACGAACGGAGCTGCGGAAGAGAGCGTCTGGGGGGGCGGGCGGCGAAGACGACAAGGAGAAGCGTTCGGAGGACGACGGCGATGGGAGCGAAGAGAAGCATGAGGAGGCAGAAGAGGTGGTAGGATGAGAACGAGGAGCAGGGAGAAGCGGTAGGAGGAAGAGGAACAGGAGGAAAACAACGACGGCGAAAAAGAAGGTGATGAGAAGATGAGGAAGAGGATGAGGAGGAGGAGGACGGGAAGCTCTGCCCTGCTCCCCCTCGCCATATCTCAGGATGATACTGCGCTGGGTCTGCGGGCAAGGGTGGCGAATGGAAGAGCAGGATCAGGAGCAAGCAGAGGGAGGAGCAGGGGAGGGAGGTAGAGAGGGGGAGGAGGGAGAGGACAGCGAGGAGGAGAGGAGGGGAGGAGGAGTGAGGGAGGAATGAGGCAGGAGGAGAACGAGGCGGGGGGGCGCGTGGGGGCCGCTGGTATGGAGATGCCTTGGCGCCCCTGGAAGCTCCTGAGGGCAAACGAGCTAATTACCAAGACCGTGAAATGCGAAACGAATAGTGACGTGGATGGGGCTCCTTATCCTCAAAGCGAACTTGGCGGCGCGGACAAGACGGTGGCGTGGTGGGTGCGACCTTCTGAAAAAGACCAGGGGGGGCTTCTACGAAGGCAGGGTCCTGTTTTGAAGCCCTCCCGGCTTCTGAGAAGGGCTGCGAGATGCCTCCAGAACCTTCCGAGGACCCTGCCTTCTCAGAAGCCCTGTGCCTTCTCAGAAGGTCTCCCCCCCTCGCGCCACTGCGTTGTGAGCGCCGCCCAAGACAGTGGCGATGATTATCTCGGGAGGCTCGCCCAGCGATGAGAATCGGCCAGGCCGCACAAGCTGCCATTGAGCACCGCACTCGGCAAGATGATCGGCACGCCCGCTCCAGTGTTCCCCAGTGTGGCTTCCGCCTTCCCGAATACAACATGACAGGCAACCTGATCAAGGACACGTGGTACGCACTATCTTCGGAAGCTGGGGGGGGGAATGGGCGCACGCAGGTACAGAATTGTCATTCGTGTACCGCCTAGACGGAGACGTAAAACCTCACCGTCCATATGGATACCGAACGTATGGGCATCCGTATTTACAAACCGAATGCCGTATCAATAGACATCGACCGATCCCTGATATCACTACCTGCATTGGCCGCTAGACTTGCTTATCCCCGCAGAACGGCTACGCCTTGCATTTAAATATCAAATTCGGGGTTCGTTTCACTTTCAGTTCCGATGTGCCTTACTATCCCCGATAAAACGCGGTCGACATAACTTTCGATATCCACATGTGTTCGATGCCCACATCAAGATCTCAGTATAGCTGCATGGTGTTCGCATATTGATGTGGACATGGAATTGCAATTCGGTGTGCATGTCGATTAACATGTCGCCTTGCATTCCGAAAGCAATTGGATGCACGGATCGCCTTGCGTGTCGACGTTCGTTGCGGTTACATTACAATCCGCATTGAGACATACATTTCGATGTGCGCGTTGGCTTGCAATTTGAGTGGCGTTTCAATTTGCATTGTGGTTGAAAAATATGTGATTTTGCGGTCAGAACAAATTGCAGCCAGAATGCCAGTGGATTTGTCTTCCCTGTGGATTCGCCACGAGGCTACTGACAAAACAAACACGGGACAACCCGAGGGGACACCCACAGGACAACCCGCGGGATAAACCACGTGCCAGCAACAAAACAACACGGGACAACCCACGGGACAACCACAAAACAACCCAATGGACAATCCGCGGGACAACCGTATACCAACCCCGGCACAACTGCGAGACAAACAGGGCGAGGAACCGCGCAACAGGGGAAACGTTCTGTGCTCCTCGGCCCTCCCTTGCGCAACCTCACCTCACCCACAACGCACAACGCGAACCGACACCGAGCTCCCGTAGGGGTCACCCCCCAACCTCTGATAAGGCAGAACAAAACAGCATCCCACCGACAAATCGGATCGAATCCGATTATGCGTCGGATCGAGCTGCATCGGCACGGCATCGAGTTATTGAATCGAACCGGCCGCGCCAAGATGCTCAACAGCGCCAGGTAATCATCAGGACGCATCGGATCATCGGAACATCAGAACAGAACCAAAGGGGATCGAGCCGGGCGGAGCCAACATCGAATCAGATCGATCGGATCGGCATGGACGCTGTAACGCTAAACTGGATCGTCGACCGCGATCCCCGCCTCTCGACTCTGGATCATGGATCCTCGATCCGCGATCCTGGGCACACGACTCTGGGTCCTGGATCCTCTCACGCGACGATCCTGGACCGGCGATCCTGGGGGATGCCGCTGGGTAATCATCCTTGTCCTGGGTCTTCGATCATGGGGGATGCCGCTACTCCCCGAACCTCCTGGGGTACGCTCTGGCCCGAATTTGAAGGAGAATGCAGCCGTGGCGACGAGGGCTCCCCGGAACGAGCAGCGGCGACCTCGAAAGGTTTAGAGCAAGCCGCCCAGTTTGTCGAATCGTAACTGGCCATTTTTCTGCATGGTCATATGGACGGATTGGAGCCGAAAGCGGCATTGGGAAAATAGTTCGACCCCCGCTGCGGCTACGGCTGGGGTTCCTATGGGTTCCTCAGGAGACTCAGGAACCTCTTTAGACTCCTGTGGTTCCTATGATTTCGTCTGAACCCTCCAGATTGATACGGATTCCAAAGAATTCTTAGGATCCGGATTCCTCGGGATTCGGAACAGTCCTGAGGATCGGATTCCTGCTGCGAATCCCTGGTAATCCTTGAAGCGAATCCTAGGAATTCCTGGACACTCCTTGGAGTCCAAGGATTTCCTTGGGATTATTATGGTTCCGACGGATCTGTAGTAGTCCTGAAGACTCCCTTCGGATTTCCGTCGGATTCCTGAGATTTTCTTAAGAGTTCCGATTGATTCCTACGGAGTCGTAGGATTCCTTATGGTTTCTACGGGTTCCTCGGGACCTCAGGATCCCCTCGGGATCCCCTAGAGATCCCACATGATTCGCAGGACTCCTCAGGATACGATGCCCAGAAACCCATGGGAATTATGGGGACTAGCCGGATTCCGAATGATTCCTGGGGACAGATGGGAACAAAGCCATTTGGGTTTGCACTGCCAGCTCTATACAACAAATGCTCGAACATCCTCCCGCGTGCAGGGTCGCCCATGGCAAATTATCCGCTGGGAGCAACAACCACCTAGCAAGATCCCGCACGGCGAACAATAGTGCGCAATTCAGTACACGCGCGGCAACAACTGAACGAGCACATCACAATAGAAGCGAGCTCGTACTGCGCACGATTACCTGCACGATTCCCACGCGAAGACGACGA